AAAAGAGCAAACTAAACTTACACCAGGCAAAAGGGAGAAAACAATACCAATTAGATTAGTGATTAGTTTAGTGGGAATTAATGAAATATAAAATTGAAAAACAATAGGTAAAATCAAGAAAACTGAAAGTTGATTCATTGATGAAACTGAATTAGTAATTTTAAAACTTCCAAAGAAGAAAAACCCAGGTCTAGAGGCCAGCCTGGTGGCATAGTAGTTAAGTTCATGCACTGTGCTTAGGTGGCCCAGGGTTCACAGGTTTGGATTCCGGGCATGGACCTACACACTGCTTATCAAGCCATGCTGTGGCAGGCATCCCACATATAAAGTAGAGGAAGATGGGCATGGATGTTAGCCCAGGGCGAATCTTCCTCAGCAAATGAGGAGGTTGGCAATAGATGTTAGCTCAGGACTAATCTTTCTCACCAAAAAAAAAAAAAAAAGAGAGAGAGAGAAAGAAAAACCCAGGTCTAGATGGATTCACTGGTGAATTAACCAAACACCTAGAGAAAACATAATATCAATTCTTCACAAACTCCTCCAAAAAATAGAAGAGGAGAGAACACACCCCAACTCATTCTATGAAGCCATTTTACCCTGACATCAAAACCAGACAAAGACAACACAGGAAAAAATACTAGAAACCAATATATTTTGTGAATATAGTTGCAAATATCCTTAATAAAACACTAGCAAACCAAATCCAGCAACATATAAAAAAGGATTATACACCATGACCAAGTGGGATTCATCTCAGAAACGTAAGGTTGATTTAACATTGGAAAAAATAATAATAATTGTATGTATATATATATAAAACAAAAGGCCATATATTACAGGATTTAATTTGTATGAAATGTCCAAAATAAGCAAATCTACAGAGACAGAAAGTAGATTAGTGGTTACCTAAGGCTGGGTGAGATGGAAGGTAATGAGATACAACTGCTCATGGGTAGAGTGTTCTGTTTGTGGATTATAAAAATGATCTAAAATTTACTGTGGTGATAGTTGCACAACTCTTCCAAATACTAAAAACCATTAAACTTTTACATATTAAATGGGTAAATTGTACTGTATGTGAATTTTATCAGAATAAAACTGTCATTTTTTTAAATAGGACAAGGATTGGATATTACATGAGGAGGGTAAAGACAACACACATGCTCAAACCACTCTCACCCTAGAACAGGGGAAAATGTGTTTGGAATCAAAATTAAATTAAGAGTAACACTAGAATATAAATACAAGTATGATCGGTGAACTATAAATTTGAGGAATCCACGAAAGAGAGAGCAACGACAAAATAACATTGATAGATGAAACTATAGCCCAAAATATGCACAGGAGAATATTGAAGGGGAAGTGAAGGCTACTCTAAGGGATGTTCCAAGTTCTGAGATGTTGGATTGAAAAATTCCATTGAAATATCCAGTCATTTTCCTTCTGTCCCTCTCACCCCAATCTGGCCGTCTTTGTGCCATATTTTAGGTCACAGAGAAATATGTCTAAAGGTGGAAAAATGAATATGAATGGTTCTGGCACTGGGGCAGGTCTGCACTTTAACTCTGGCAACATCTAGGAGGAACAGAGAACCCTGTGCCCAGATGAAGAGCTAATATTGCATTCTCCCTCCCCATGACAGGATATCTCCTCCCTTCCTCACAGAGAAGGCACTCATTCTATAGTAAATAGAGACAATACCCAGGAAAATATGAACAGAAAATATTGAATATATAGAAGACTACACAGTGAAGAATTCCTAAATACATCATTTCAGGCAGACTACGAATTGACATAAAATAGTCCCATGTGTGTACATACACACACACACACACACTTTAACCTTACATTAAGTAACTGGATATTAAATCCAGAATATTTTTGGAAGTCTCCCCACCTCAGAACTATACATGCAGCATATCTTAGAGTACCTTCTCTTGTGCCCCAGAAACATAAATGTGGGGGAGGGGGAGGGGAGAGCAAAGCTGCTGACAACTGTCTTCACATGTTAGGGTATGGCCAGATCAGAGCCTGATTTCTTAACCAGCCACAGTCCTTAGGCCCATGAATACTTAGAGCTTTCATCTTCATCCAGAAAGAATGTACACAAATAAGCTAATGATTGAACAGAAAATATATAGAAATGTCTGAAGACCCCCTTGGTATTCAAGAAAAGTTCAGTGTCAACTAGGCCACACCTAATTATGTGTGGAAAGAGATGGGGAGAGAAGCACAGTCAGTGAGCATGCCTCCAGAACCCAAAGTGGCCTACGAAACGTTGTTCATCCTTCTTGTGGGGAGAAATGCAAGACACCATATTTTTCCTTTACTGTGGAAGAGATGTCCTCGCATGACCCAGAACACTGGGCCACTAAAGGCTGCCAACCACCCTCTGGAGTGCATGTGTTACTAGCTACTTCTCGTCCATCCCACATGAGTAGCATGATTTCATCATTTCATCAGCATACTGGGCCAGTGTCAGGCTCTGTTGGATGTCCCACTGCTCCAGGTCTCTTCAGACTATATTATGACAGAGGTCTGAAGAGATAACTTGGACCCAGGCTGAGACCATGAATGTGAGCAAGGTGGTGGAATAGCAGTTTTCTACCATTTTTCCTCCAAAGAACACTGATTTTGATAATCACCCACCGACAAGAGTACTTTTGTGGGAATCTGGAGTGTAGTGGAGAAGTTCCAGCACATCATTGGAGTAAAAATTCCAAAGATAGATGCATTGAAGAGGAGAAGAACAGTTTCACTTTACCTGCATCATACTACCCCAAGGCGGCACAGCTCAGTGCCAAGAGATTCCCTCTTCCACGGGTGAAAGTGAGAGGGTAGTGACAGAACACCCGGCTTCTCCATATGTGCAGGATGCTGCCAAAGAAGCCCATGACTTTCTCACCCAGAATATTGAAGTAATCAGCGTGACAGAGGGACAGGGAGAGACTGGGAGCAGAGCAGTCAGGGATTGGAATTCACAGAAGGGATGCAAATCCTATTAACCACTTGGCGACTTCATTAGGAAGCCTGCCCACAAGCTGATGGGGACACCTCATCTCAGACCTCTTATCTGACCTACAGGTACTCCCAATACTCCAGGCAGCTCGCACTACACGCTCCTGAGCTAGCTTCCTGTGTGCATCCCCACAGGTGGAGAGTGCGAGCTTTTGCAGATGGCCAACGAGCCCACACAGAAAACTGAATGTTCTGTAAACGTCAGTTAGGTCCATTTGGTCTAAAGAATAGTTCAAGTCCAGTGTTTCCTGGAAAATTTCAACAAGCAGCATTCCAGAAGATTGTGCGTGGAAATGTGTGGTGAACTGTGGAAGCACTTGTCTACCTATACTGACTAGATACTGTGGTTATGATCAACAGTCCAGATTAGAGCAACTAAGAAAACCCTTATAATGGCCATATTGAGCTTAATTGTGTTACATGCACATTACCCCACAGTGCTGGCTAGAAAGATACTGTATCTCAGCACTAAAACCACCACTCTATACACTCTGCTGTTGATAAGAAAGCAGGAAATCACGAACCACAAGAGTTATTTGCTAGCACCTACCCTGCTATATTCTGTTAATTGGAGGATGCTAGAAGGAGACTGGAAGATACTGGAAGGAATGTTTGCTTGCTGTTCCTGTCAATGCCATGACAGCTATCGTCCTTTGCCTAGTAGCATTGGATCCAGGTTCTAGTATTAATTTTTTCCACAGTCCCAGTACCAATCTCATCGTGGTCCCTTGGAAGAAACAGAACCAGACACAGTGAGCCCCTTTCCAGGGGTCTGAGTCCCAGTTACATGAGGGTTCCTCTTCTCTGCTCCTGAGACACGAGCTCCAGCTACAAAGTGTCCCTCCACAGAGGTTTGGGTCTTGGCTCTATGTTGTCCATTCTCTGAGCTCCTGAGCTACTAGAACCAGCAGGACAGCACTCGCTTATTATAGGTCTGAGTATCACCTCTGGGGAGACCCTCCCCCAAGATTCTAGATTTTCATTACCACAAACACTTTTCTTTGTTCCCGTAGACATACAGGTGAAAGTGACATCCTGCAGTTATTAGCTCTGTATTATTTCTGTGTTCTCTTTGTGCCTTCTCAGCCCTCCAATAACTGTTTACCCAGTTCCTTGGATTAAATACTCCCAGTGTTAACCACTGGAATGATTTCTGTTTTCCTATCTAGACCTGAACTAACATACCCACTTCAACTTTCCTTGAGGAAAGAGTCCAAATATGGCAACATAAATCCAACCAGATTAAACTATGTCTGCATTTGGTTCCTGGTTATATTGAGACTTCAGAGAAATTTACTTTGTATCTAGATGATATGTACCAATATCGGGAACAGATTTATTAAATATGAAGCATGGCATTAGTACTTCTGAAGGAACTATACAGATTGGAATTGAATTAAGCAAAGTTATTTTTCACAGAATACTTGTACTAAAAATCTCCCTGAAGCACTGAGGGAAAGTATGAATATTTGAGCAAAAAAGTTTAGGTTACTGACAAAGCAGTAAAACATATATTGGTGATGATATTAGCTATTATATTAAAGGTCAGGCAGGTCATAGGTGAAGTGGAAAAGTAAGAATATTTGGAACAATTCCATAACCATGGACAGTGCCAGTTGTATGTGCAAGATTCAGATGACAACATTCAGTAATTTGCAACTAATACACTTTTTATTTCCATCTTCCTCTTGAAAAAAAATCCACATTTGAAACCTAAACTAGGTCACTGGTGTCTAAGTCATTTAAAATCTTTCATATTAAATGAATATATATTAAGATTATTGTGGTTATCTGAGGAAAATAGTGATACAGAATTTCTAGCCTAAATTTATCTCTCTTAGCTGACAGTCTTCTTACTTAAAGCCAAAGTGATCTTTTGCATTGCTTTCATCCCAAGCAAGAGTCTCAACATTTTAACTTCTATAAATAGTATTTTACTCATCTATACAGTGACTGGGACTACAAAAATTTGAAAAACCCATCTAGTTCTTTGTTGCACTGGGATGGAGAACTTTCAGCACAGCCCTGCGTATCTGTTTGGTCTTCACACTGTAGATGATGGGGTTCATCACAGGGGGGATTAGCAGGTAGGCATTGGCAATCAGCGTATGTACATAAGCTGGGGCTTGTTTCCCAAATCTGTGAACAAAGGACAGACCGATCAATGGAATATAGAATACAGCAACAGCCCCAATATGGGAGATACATGTCCTGAAGGCTTTCTTCCTCTCTTGCGGGGATGCAATGCTGAGGACAGTCCTAATGATCAAAAGATATGAGAGGAGGATGAAGATTGAGTCCACCCCAGCAGTGGTGATCAGAGCTGTCAAGCCAACTGCACTATTGATCCTGGTGTCTGTGCATGAAAGCTTCATCACATCAGGGTGGAAACAATAGGAATGACGGAGCACGTGGCTGCGGCAGAATGATAGACGCTTAAGAAGCACCTGTATAGGTATTTGTATTAATGTTCCCCTCGTGATGATTGCTACTCCAATCTGTGCTATTTTAAGATCAGTTAAGACAGAGGCATATCTAAGAGGATTAGAAATGGCCACAAAACGATCAAAGGCCATAGCCAACAGCACTGAAGATTCCATGACAGTGAAAAGTTGAATGAAAAACATCTGTGACAAGCAGGCATTAAAGCTGATCTCCCGGGCGTTGAACCAGAATATACCTAACATGGTGACCAGAGTGGATATGGACAGGCCAAGGTCAGTGGTGGACAGCATGGAGAGGAAATAGTACATGGGTTCGTGGAGGCTGGGCTGAGTGACAATGGCAAAGAGAATCAGGCTGTTTCCTGAGAGAGCAGTTATATAGAGAAAGCAGAAGGGAATGGAGATCCAGGTGTGGAAGGCTTCTAGCCCAGGAAAACCAGTTAGCAGGAAAATACCGGAAGATGTTGTGGTATTTTGGAAAGTTGACATTATTGAACTCAAACTGCAGAATCTTAATATGAGTGTCCTGAAATGATAAATTATATTTGTTTATTATATATTCGACCTGAAATTATTTCACCAGGTAAATATTTATAAAAGACAATACCTATAAGAGCTCATAAAGATTGATTAAAAAAAAAAAAAAAAGGAAGAAAGCCAAGACCACATCTAATATAGGAGCAGAAAACAGGAAATGGACAATTATATGAGGATACAGTATTTGTACACAAACAAATCCAACAATGACCCGTTTTATTTCATTTCACTTGTCTGGTCAGTGAGATTGTACCCAACAGTTCCTGAGTTCACAATGTAGGCAGTCAATAAATATTTGTTGAATTGTGTCTGTAGGGTTATATGAAATTTAGATGAATACCAAACAGCATATGCAGTGATTATTATATAGTAAATGAAGTAAGTTAGCTTCTGGTGGCCCCTAAAGAAATTCTCTCTCTATCTCCTGAATACTTTCTTTCAATTAGGTTGAATATCTCCAGTCTTAATAAATATCTAACATTTATTGAGCCCCTACTACCTGTTAGTACATGTCACAAGATCTTGTATAAACATACAGTCTATTTGCAATACCATAAGTTGAATTATACCTAATTAACTTTCATACCACATAACAAGTATAAGCAGTCATGACAATTATAAACAGAACTATTTGAGTCTAGAAGATCTCAAAATTATGATGGATATTTTGTTGTTATGAATTTTTACTTATCCTTCCAAACCAATTTTTTTGGATTGCATATTCTAAACTTTGATGAGTTCAAGCATGGACTAATATAATTATCAGCTGAGTTACCCACATGACAAGTTACTAAACTGTATGTGCCTGAATTTTTCCATCTCTAAGTAATAATGATATACACAACCTCTTGGATAATTGTGAGGATTAAACTACTTAATGTATGTGAAAAGCTTTGGAGGGACCTAACTATGATGTAAAAGTTGGCCAAATATAAGGTATTATCACTTTAAAAATTAAAGGTAAAACATTATACAATTATTTCTCTCCCTTTCTTTCCCACTTCTATATGCATACCCCTCCCCACTAATCCACATGTCTTATCTCAGATTTGAGAAGAAAGATGAAAATATTATCTAAGTCTGAACTTAGACAAAATCCACAGATTAATATTTTCTTCATATGATCCCTACTTCCTTCATGACTATGATTTTCTCAAACTTTCTTCATTCTTTCCTGAATAATAATAAGAAGAACTCTTGCTGCTTTCCAAAGACAGCCCTACCACCTAGCTTCTCAATTTTTTTTGACCGTAGTGAAGTTTAACATTAAATTACTGAGTGCATGCTGTAATCCAGACTATAGGGATACAGAACCAAATCAGATATGGTACCTGCCTTTAAGGATATTTAGACAAGGATAGGATAGTTAGGAAAACAAATGGTTAAACAAACAAACAAAATGCAGGGTGATGTATACAATAACAGATTTGTGTATGAAATACACAGGTTGTATATGTTAGAAAGTTGCGTGGGGGAAGGGTCAAGAAAGGCTTTCTTGAGAAAATGAAGATGACTTGTGCAGGGGATGATAGATAAAAACCACCATGAGGATATTCTAACCACATCAATGTGTGTAGTTTCAGATATTTTAGAAATTCCTCTCATCTGTGAGATACAAAGTGCCAAAAGGTAGTGTTTAAAGGCAACAGGGATTCATCGTGGAATTATCATGTCACCCTTAAAGGGGTAATGAATGTTCATGTTTTCTAAACACTAAGCAAAGAATGAATACATAGATCTCTTTCTGCTCTAAGAAATAAACCAAACAATTTTTCCTTATTTTGTTTTAAATTTGTATTCTCTTTCATTTGTATCATTACCACAGTTTGTAAATATTCCAGATTTTTTCTGAGCCTAAACATAAGGAAGAAAGGAAGGAAGGAAGGAAGGAAGGAAGGAAGGAAGGAAGGAAGGAAGGAAGGAAGGAAAAAAAAAGAAAGAAAAAAACCTTTTCTTACTAACCCTGCCTCCCTGTTGCGTGTATCTTCTTCCCATAACCAACAACTTATTCAATATTTGTCTATCCTCATTTTCCTCTTTAGTGGTTCACATCCATAGTTGAAATTTGGCTTCTTTTTGCAGTGAAACATATTCTGTCGCATTAGTTGTATAGTCCTACGTAAAAACTACTACAAATTCATTCTTTAAAACAAGACACATTCATTATTTCACATTTCAGTAAGTCAGAGGTCTGAGCACAGCATAAGTATGATTTCTGTTCAGGATCTCACAAGGATAAAATCGATGTTGCAGCCATGACTGTGTGCCCATCTGGAGCTTGTACTCTTCCAGACTCATTCAGGTTGTTGGCAGAATTGAGTTCCTTATGGTGTAGGATAGAAGTCTCCATTTTCTTGCGGGCTGTGTCACCAGAGGTTGCTCTTCGCTCCTAGAGACTATCCTCAGTCCCAGCCACATGGACTTCTCACAGCATGGCGTCTTGACTCTTCTAATCCAGCAGGAGAACCTCTGCTTCTTCTTGTCTCTTTTAAAGACTCACAAGATTTGGTCAGGCCCACCCAGCTTAACCTCCCTTCTGATTAACTCAAAGTCAAGAAATCTAGGGCCTTATTTGCATCTGTAAACTCCCTTTGCCATATAATGCAACATAATAACAGGAATGATATCCACCACATTCATAGGTCCATTCACAGTCAAGGGGTGGGTTTTACACTAGACAAGTACATAGAGGGCAGGTATCTTGAGGGACCTTTTAGAATTCTGCCTACCATAGCTATCTAGGCCATCCAATATCCAAACTTCTGAAATGGCCTTTATTGACTGTCTTCATCCTCCAATTCCATTACCTCTATTTTACGTAACACTTTCATTAGTTTTTACAGGAACTACAGCAATATTCTCCTAATTTTCAATTGTTGCCTAACTATCTTCAGATTGATGCCAGCCTGATCTCTCAGAAATACATCTTCACATCACTCCTCACATGGAGCTCTTCATTGTTTTCAGCATGAAGTCAAAACTCTTTATCTCTTTATTACAGAAGTCAAGGATCTTCCCAATCTGACCAAAATCTAGTTTTACTGCTGCCTTTCCTCTTCCCCATGCCAGGAACATTTTGATATTGCCAACCTGGGCTTTTCCTACTTCACCAAACTACCAAATACAGCAAGTTCTTTCACACTGCTGTGCTTTGATTATTTCACGTATTTTCCACTCTTCTTTCAATGATCCTAAATTCTTCAGACTCATTATTTGCTCCATTGGTTCATTTAAAATTCATGGTTAATTTGTTTACTTCCGGAAGCATTTTGCGGCATCACCTTCTCCATGTCAAGTAGGAAGGAATTTCTTCTTCCTCTGGAATCACATCCTTTATTTATACATCTAAAATAGTGGTCACTCTATTGCACGATTATGAGTTATTTGAAAATATGCCTCTAAATAAACTAAAATAAACTACTGGCAGGTAGATCATTGTTTTTCATTGTTATAGTCCCAATACCTTGCACTGTATTGTACAGTGTGGGAAGACAATAGATACTTTTTGATACGAATTAAATCCCAGACTTATAAACTGACCAAAGATTCTGGAAACATATCAGGATCTCAACCCATTACAGCTTTGCCCATTTAGTTCGTTCTGTGTAGCCTGAAATTACACATGTGACTATGGGAAGAATCTCACTGAACTCTCCTTCATTCCCACAAAAGGAGTACTGTGTGTCTATATGTATTCGTGTGTGTGCTGGGTTTTTTTGATGGAAGACTCTGTTCTAGTATTTCAGAGTAAACTTTTCTGTGCCTGTCTCCATTTTTTGATAGTAGTTTTCTCTTTATATGAAGATAATCTTCTAGTCCTACTGTAAGAGCATCCTGCAGGCTCTGAGCAAGACTACTGTGAGTTCACTCTTTTGATTACAGAAAGTCACTAATGTGGTTACAGGGTCAGGCAAACCCAGGTTCAAATGCTAACTCTGCCACCAACTAGCTGTTTTACAAATGAGCACTTTACATTAGATTCTGCCTCTGTGAAATTGGTAGCTTACCAATAGCATTATTTGAAAGGATTAAAAGAGTTAGCGTTTGTAAAGCATTTAATCAGCTAACTAGTACATGGGAGGTGTTTAATAATGGTAAATGAAGGTGAAGATGAGGACGGTGCTGGTGGTGGGTGGTGGCAGTACTGCCAGCTGCCCTTAGACAATGATTTTGAAATGCGGTACAACAAACCAGAAAACTCACAACTGCAAGGACATGCTAACAAATTATTCTAAGCATAAAGACATATGGTCCATAGACCAATAGAACCCAGTTAGCTAGAATATAATGTTTTCAAACACAGATTTTGGGAAAAAGCTTTCCACAATTTTTCTTAACCCACCCATGGGAGCTTTTTGTAGTTAATAAAATCTTCCTCATTCTTAAAGGAAACCAGTATGTGTAAAGTCTGATATTTTCTCTGAATGCAGAAATTTTACTTACAAAGTATGGAGACGGGTTCTTTCCTGTCGTTTTTGCCAGGAAAGGGCCTGAGGGGCTAGGGAGGTTTTTCTACTCAGTGATAGATAGGTGGCATATATAAGGAGCTGTGACTCTGACTGCATGAAATGGCTTAATTAGAAAACTCTTGGTGGACTTTTTGCGCCCCCAGAGTATGAAGCTTCCCAAGGGTTCATTCTACCTCCTGGCTTCATTCCCCTTCTACTTCATTACACTTACTCTTGTCATTTCTGTACATGACAGATACTATAGTTTCTTGCCCTTGTATCATGGTAAAATTTTGTTAAAAGTAAATTTGTGATTAAAATTCCAAAACAAAACACCTGCTCTATGCATGAGCTCACTCCTGTCCCTACCTTCCCCCCACACCCAGCTGATAAATGTATCTTCCTCCAACATCTCCTGGGTGAATTTTGTAAATTTTTAAGAAACTTCTCCATTTATGCAAAAAAAGAGCTTTATTAATTCTTTCCTAAAACACTTTAAGTAGT